CCCAGCAGTTTCCTGACCCAGAGTGCTGAGCAGCCATGTGACTGCTACTGCTGCTCATGAGGGAAGGGGCAAAGTGAGGGCTCGGGAGCAGGGGGAGAGGGAAGTCTCCCGTAGCACGGATGCTGTAAACCAGACCAAGTGGCTGTGGAACCAGGACGCATGAGAAGGAACTAAACATAGGAGTGCTCAAGAAGTCTACCATAAATACCAAGGTTAACAATGAAATCCTCATCTTCAGCAGCATTGTGTGTGAACTTTGCAACATGGTGAAAACGTACACGAAAACCGTCATTTCACCAGACTAACTTTCCTTTCAGAAATAGTATTACTAAGGCACAATACATACTATTAATTAAATTCTCCACTGAAAGGCTGGAGATGATACCTAAGAAGTCTGATACTGTTGCATACTAACATCTGTTGTCTGTCTTTTAAAGCAGATGGTAGAGAACTCACTGATTTATCATGTTCTCCCCCATTACTTCTGCTCTGTATCTGAAGGAAATTGTATTAATACAGATAAAAGGAGTTGCCACAAAGATGGGTCAAGCAAGAAGATGAAACTGTGGTTAAAGTGATGTTGGTGAAGAGTCTTTATGAGGCTAAGAAAAAAATCTTCTTCAATGTTCCCCACTATTTAATGTGCCAGACCAAATAACAAAATGGATGATTAAATATACAGGAAATGTGAACTGCTAGCTTCAAAAATCCACAGCACCATAAAATACATACTTGAACTCCAATACCTGAAAAATACAACACATCAAAAGATCCTGCCCACTGATTACCTATCAAGTCTCATTTTTGTTAGCAAGAATTTTCATGTTTGCTATTACCTACTTCCTAGAAAATTACACAGAAGGAAATAATATCAATTTGTCTGTTTCAACAAAAAAAAAGGCAAGACAATTTAGGCGTAAATCCATGGAAATAATTCTTTAGCTCTTCTCAAAGGAAAAGCTGAATTCCTCCATCCATTTTTGTAACAGAAAAACACAATATTTAATTTTGAGAAAAAAATTATAGGACATTCACATGAAAACTTGATCAGAACTTATAAAGCATGACAAAGTCACAATCATTTTCTAAGAAAGCAAGAAGAGAGCACACAAGCCCTGCTTGGGAAGTAGAGCTTCTCAACTTGGATTATTGTGTGTGGGGCACAGAGCTGTCACTGCTGGGCTGCTGAAGGCTTCCATGACACTTTGCACCAAACTGGAGGTCATCGCTGTACTTGGGAGAGCAGAGAATGCAAGTGGCTGCTGGACTGGAATGGAGATGCTTTCCCTGGATCCCTTCTGCACTGCAGATACACACACACACGTTGTTCTCCAAAAACCCCTCAACTCTTGGTTCTGTGGTATTTCTGAATTTACTGATCCCACAGGAAATGCTCACTGGGAATTAGGTAACAGCATCCACCATCTAAACACCATGCTGCTACATACTGGTTTATCACATAGCAGGCAGTATTAAAAGCTACTAGCAGCATATTAAGTTCTAAGCAACAAGAAAAGATAGCATTCAAAATCACAGCTGAATCCTTCACAACTGTGCCAAGTGTTACACACTTTTCATTAGTTACATAGAATTGCTTCTCACCTCAGTTTATAACCAGATGGTTTCTATCTATCTCTCAATACTTCAGAGAAAAACAGAGCTCACCAAATACTAAGATCCTGCTTATACCAGTGCTTACACATCTTCTTTAAAATATCTGGTAAAATTTTCCATGGGATCAAATGGCTTTCAAAAAAATTTTTATCGCCATCTGAAGATTAAGCTAAACCATGATCATTTGTGTGTTTTTCTTGCACTTTCCTTCCTTTCATGATGTTCCAGTAATTACTCTGTACCACTCTGGTAACTAGCAGCAAGCTCCAGTGAGAGCTTTTTTTCAGAGGAAGTGACCCTAAAATTCACTGTTTCAGATACAGCTCTTCTAAAATATCCCAAACCCCCTGCTCCTTACAACTCTCCAGGGATCTTTATGCTAATAAAAAGGCTGTAGGCAGAGCCCTCTGACACACTTAGGTCATCTTAGCTGCTGCCTTAAGACCACCTACCTCTGGCCTCCACACTGACACAACTGTACCACCTTTAGGCTCAAGGACATTCTTTTCAAAAGCAGCAGCTCAGGATTTGAAACCTGATTAGACCATAAAGATGTAAAAAGCTATGCAGAATTTAGATAGAGAGACCAGATTCTCATCTGCTCTCAGATGAATCTCTGGTTTCCCACAGGATAGTTCTCCTTCTCTATGTTAACAGGTTTATCATTATTACCAGGTATCCCAGAGAACTGTTATAGCAACAGTCTTCCCCAAACACACCAATGAACTGAAGCACAAGAGTAACAAACCCAAAATGGGTATTAGCAAAACGGCTCTACAGATTTATAGCCTCGCTTTTAAAAACAAAAGCTTGTTTGCTTCTGTTGGTTCTTTCCTTTCCCTTTCTTTCCCATGCACTCAGCTGAAGTCAGGATTCTGCTGGCACACCAGGACAGTAACATGGATTCCCAATACAAGTGACACTGGAGACCTTACTTACCTGACAACACCCAATTCTCCCAACCAAAAGTGAGTTATATGAACAGAAATAATTCTACAACAAATCATATGCAATCAGCTGTTCATGTTTTTTTCTGTTATTACTGATTTAACACTAAATTAATCTCTCATGAAACATTCATAACATTCCAGAATCATTATGTGTTTTGCACTGGCTGCAATACAAATGTCCAGCTTATTTTATTTGCTGAACAGTCAAAATATTTGCTAATAATTTCAGTAGACAAAACAAACAAAAAAAAAAAAGAGGGCTTGTGGATGTAACAGCCTGGTCAGAGAGTGAAAAAACCAGACAAGTTTTTCCAGAATTGGCTTGTGAGACTTTAGAGAGTTGAAGATAAACAATGATAGCTTAGTATTATACACAGCCTGCAGGTGTTGTTTTCCTACTGTCTGTTTTCCTCAAAGATTGTTTATAAGGAAAGTGTTTAGTTGCCAGCCAGTCAGGTGAAATGCACTGATTACTGATCTGGTCTGTGTGTATAACAGAGAGACCCCAAAGCAAGGTGGAAGCTGTGCAAACCAGACTCCTGGTGAGTCTGTGTCTTTCTTACCCAACAGCAACAAGGCTTCCAAATCAACCCTCTACATTCTACCTCCAGGAGACGAGATGTATGATGTATGATTAACATAACAAATGCCAAAAGGCTTTCCTCCAGGGTTTGCCAATTCTGTAGCTGCCTTTTCCTCTGTGCTCCATAGGAAGTTTTGCTGTCAAATTTGCCAAACTCCAAGGTGCTTTCTACGAGTGCTAGGGGTTTTTTTGGTTGGTACATTTTGGGGCATTTGGGGTGGGGAGGGTCTCTTATTTCTACTATATCAGATTTCAATTCATACCATGCTTTCCTTCAATAAATATTTTGTAAAGCACATAAAATACATTTCTTTTCACTCTGAAGATTTAAGAGCATTGGTGAGCTCTGCATGTGAATTTCCCCATTCTGAACTCTAACTGATATGCCTCACAGGGAACTTGAGATAATTATTTTCCCTATGGAATGTTTTTAAATGATATGGCATAATCTGCTGTACTGAAAAAATGCAGGAGCCTTAATCTGCATTTCTTACTTAGGTAAAATGCAAATTGCTTTCATAGGACATGGTCCTTATCTAAGAAAGCAGCAAATCCTGCACAATGAACACACCATTAATAGTAATATAAACTTCTGTGTATTCCACGTTCTCTTTCTAGTCAGATCTATAATCATCACTAATTCACCCCAGTTTACCCTGAGGTTAAACAAAAGGAAAGAAATAAACCCAAGAAACTTTCATTTTAGTACAGGAAATTAAAAGCCTAGAAACTTAAATGGCTGTGAAGAAAAATCAATATTTTAGTCAAAATTAGATTTTAAGAGTTTCTGGTATTAGATATGGAGGTTTCAATTTCAATTAAAAAGCTCTATTGGGATGCATAATAATCCATTATAAAAGTGCACCTGACCCCTGGAGAAACAAAGAAACTGGAAGAAGCCTGCTTACCAATCCAGGAACACACATTAAATCACATAGGAGTGTGATCTGAAACACAGAAGTCTTCAAGTTTTAAAAACAGACATCGAAACTGAATTATTCAAGAGAAAACATTGATTTGTGACATTTTCAGAACATCACACTTCCTTGACAGAAATTTTTCATTTCTCTAAGACTTGCAATTATTCAACAGGCATAAAATGGACTTCTCAAGCTTGCTATTGAACATATTAATATTTGCTCTTCAACTTTTATTTCAACTTCATTACCACAAAAGTATAATACTTATGCTACTGTGTAAATTACAGTGTTCTTCAAAGAACTAATGATCTTGAAATTATGCAGCCTCAAGGCTACAACACAGATCAGATTCACAGGAATCAGTAAAATCTTTGCTCCAAAAGATCTATGCTGAAGTTTTTATAACTGTAACTCTGAACATGACAAAGTGAATACATTTTTGGTACTTAATATCTTAGAAAAAGTCTCTCTGTACTTTTTTTCCATTCACTTACTTAAGATGAAAGTTCAAGTTTTTAAACTGGTGATAATCAGAAGGATTGATGCTTTACTATTCACTTACACAAAAGCCAAATCAAGTGGTGAGTCTTTCAAGTAAAAGGTCAAACCAGGAACTATTTCAGAGTAAATGATCCCAAATTTTTCACATTACAATTGCTCATTCAATCGGGTGTTTCAGAAACAGAGCAGCTCATTTTCGCAATTGCAGTTTTTAAGAACTAGCCAATAAGAACTATTAACCATTTCAATGTTAACCACAGAGCAAATGAACAGATTACCTAAGTATTTGCATTTATCATTTGGTCTCCATTTGCTATGCTGAGCTGTGTAAACAGAATGTGAAGTTAGACAAAAGGAACACAAGGAAACATCTGCATGGTGTGGCAACGCCCTAGTCTGTGGTGACAGTGGGAATGAGCGAACACCTCCTACCTGTGGGCACAAAGTCTCAATGTGATTTGCTGCCATTTGGACAATTTTCGTTCCATCTTCATTTGTTGACAACGAACAAGCAAGATTGGCAACCTTAAATAAAATAAATAGACAAACTTAAATTAGCAATCAGCCTTGTAAGCCAGTATTGCTGCTCAGACTTCAAACCTGCCAAAAAACATCTTTGCTAGAAAGCCTTCATTTGGGGGGAAAAATATTTTGTCAAAGAATGTTTTTGAACAGGGAAACACTGCAGGAGGGAAAAAGAGCTGTGGAAAGAGGTGACAGTGATGAGAAATCTTACCACCTCACCCCAATTTAGGCTCAGCAGGTAACAGCTGCAGAGTGGTGTTTAGAAAATAGGATGAAATTTCAAAGTAAGAGCCTAAGGTTTCAGCAGATTGCCTGTGATCTTGCCCCTTAATTTTACAGAGCTCTTCAAACCATAACCAGCTTTTACACTGTTCTTTTAAACTTTCTTTTAAGACCTTAAATCTCAAATAAAATTTATCTTGATGTGCTGTAATTAAACACAAAGTAATTTCTGCCCTGAGCCATCAACAAATTATTCTTTTAGTTAGTGGTATGGTTTTCCACTGAAATGATCATATCATACAGCATATGGAGTGCAACCAACAGTGGCAACATATATGGAAACTTGAAATCTGTGAAAGAACAAATCTATCTTCTATTATAACATACACCATAGAGATACAGCTTCCTTTAAAGTAAAAATCTCTTCCACAATGCTCCACAAGTTTAAATGGGTGAAGGAAAAAGTATCTCACTGCAAATAAATACCACCAGGCAGAAAGAGACAGGTTTGACAAAGGTGAAGACAAGAGAGGCTGGGACACTGGGATCCAGTAGATCTTTTTATCCTACTGCAGTATTATCAAGTCCTTCTGTAAACTACTCCACAATTGTTGACCACCACAGCCTTCCCTGAAGTAGCTGCACTGCCACAACCACTCCAATGTTAATGCCGACCAAAAACTGCCTGAGAAGCAGACCTCTGCAGGGTGCAAATATCAACACAGACAGCCACAGTTACAACAAAACTCACAGAACAACTTCTACAGTTCAGCTGCCATGAAATAAAAGCAAATCTTCCTTTATCAACATTTTAGGACACCACCACTACTAGAATTATCTACTACACCAAAGGCTTTTATTATTCTTAATTGATAGAAGGAATTAAAAAGGATTAGTCAGTGCACAGACAAATAAATTACTTTTCCTATTGAAAATTCAGAAGAGATTAAGAAACACTTTCTGAAGGGGATGATATTTAGAATATATGGCCTTCCATGTACACCTGTGCCTACACAAAAATACTTTGTACAAGTTTCCCTGGTATTCCGGTACAATTCACTGGCTCCCTACCCATGTGATATATTATCTTTTCCACATTAAAAAAATGTTTAAGACTGGAGAAATCCAGTTTTCATCAATGCAATAACACTGTATTCTCTTCTATTTGAAGTAAACTGCCATAGGTTGGTTTTTTAATGCAGTATCTGAAAAAAAAATGGGTTTGATTCTATGCTTTCCTTCTTGACTCTTCAGCTTAAACTACCCACAGATTATATCATCACAATATAACCCTAAAAGATGATATTCCCCCCTCCAAAAAAAATAAACAAACAAAAACAAAAAAAAAAAAAAAAAAAAAAAAAAAAAAAAAAAAAAAAAAACACTAAACTCCCCTCCAAAAAAAAAAACCAAACAAACAAAAACAAAAACAAAACAAACAAAAAAAAAAAAAACAAACAAAAAAAAAACAAACAAACAAAAAAAAACAAACAAAAAAGAGTTCTTTTTCTTCTCTTTACAGGTCAGAGGCTTTCTCTACTGATCCAAACAATTAATTCATACTGGCTTCAGTATTTTAATTTCTCTGCATCAGTCACTGAGGTGCTTGTGTATGCCTAATTCAAATCTATGTTCACTCACACTTCCTTCCTACACCACCTGTGTAAAATGAAGAACTCTACAGGACTCAGTGCAAACGTTATTGATTGAAGAACTCTTCTATGTTTAAAGCAGTAATATTTCAAGGGCAAAATAAAAAGGCAATGCCAGCCACTCCACCAGGACAAAAACTCTGAGCAACTTTTTTTTTTTTCTCTTTACCACAAGGTTCCTCAGGTTTTTCAAATTCATTTGGCAGGTTCAGAAAAACCTTCACTTTCATTTCTTGGAGCCCAGTACAAACGTGTGTGATATGGAGCTCCTGTTTATCAGTGAGGAACTGATCTAAGCAGTTTTCTCCCTGTCTTGATGAGCAAGGCAGACACAGTTTACAGCAACTTTTTATCCTGTTTCCTAGTTACAACATTTCAGTACAAGTACAGTCCTCGATGCAAACTGTGTCACAGTCACAGAATAATAAATTAGGATGAAATAGGTTTCCAGAGATCATGTACTCCAACCCCCTGTTCAAAATATGAGAATGAACTTGAAACCAAGAGGTGCCAATGGCTCAATGTAACAGATCAGCATCTGGGGACAAATTCTGTGTTACTAGATGTCATGTGGGAGATTAGATGAGTAAAAAAGTGTGGCTCTTCTCTGACAAAGCGTGCTCAGGTCAGGAAGGAGCTCTTAATGCACAAGTATTCCTTTTTATTTGAAGTCAACAGCGATACGGGCTTTTTTAATATAAAGAGGAACAACTTTATGATCTTATGCTTCCACTCCTGCTCCTTCATCTCTAAGCATTCCTTGCTGATGGCCAATTCAGAATAGCATTCTCAAAGCACAAGCAGCAAACCAAGGGTATAAGCACTACGAATTTACGTTAGGCCATTTTACAACAGCAAACAGAGGTTTGTAATATTTACATAAGGTATCTTAAAAATATCTATTAACTGAAACGAAATAGTATTGGCTACTGTGGAATAAACACATGCTGTATTTTGGATGTGCATTTGGAGTTCGTACTACAGTGCATTGCCAGCAGCAGATTTAGACCTTTGCCTTTCATTTTGATCCATGTTAATAAGGCTTCTGTTTCCATGAGAAAATGGGTGGAATTTTCTTCTCCTGGCATTGAAGCAGCACTTGTCCACATGTACCTTATGCAGTCAGTCTCAGCAGTAGGTGGTGAGGCTCACAACTATTCCAGCCAAAGACAATTCAGATCCCTGGAAGTCATTGACATGGTCTCAGCCATCAGCACACTCACTGCTGGTACCTCCCTCAGCAGTTCCTGAAGAGATCTTCTTAACACAAATCCAAAACACAATAATTCAAATCACATGGAAGGAGGCAAACACCTGAGTGTAATTTTTCCAAGCAGGAGCAAGGGTATGTGTGAACCTCTTTTGAGGCTTTAATGTTGCTAATAAGAAGGATAAGCTGTTCCAGCAATAGTAAATGTCTATACTCCATAAGAAAAAATCAAGCCCTAGTGTTTGATACATGACCTTACTGTCATGTATCACACACATCTTAAAAGGTTTTTGCAATCTGAGAAATCTTCATTACACCACAGTCTCTCCCCTAAGCAGTATAAACTACACAAACACATCACTTTTCTTTTGTATTCTGTGGAAGAATTTAGCTTCCCCTAGGGGACTTCAAACCCAGGTACACTGCAAGTTCAAAAACAAAACTGCAAAATGAAAATCCAAGATTGCTCTCAGTCAGAAAATAATTGTCCTTCTGAAGAACAAAGTTTGTCAGGACAAATAAAAAGCTTTCTTGTAGGCGGGTCTGGTTGAAGTCAGAACTCTACCAAAAAAAATCATGACAATTTTCTCCAAACATTTTTAAGACACTAAAAAAGCAGCTACACTTTGAAAAGCAGTTTTCCTTGAAAACATAATCAACATTCTTGATGAGGTTTAGCAACATCAATTAATACACTAATTAAGGTGCAATGGGAAAATAAGACTTTGAACTGAGCATGTAAGTGCAGCACTGGCAGTAGATAAAATATTTCATTAGCTGCATGGATTTTTAGACTGTGAAGGCACTGCAGAGTGCATTTTTTGATGCCCATCACCTGTACACTGAAGATATGCCAATGCACATTTCTTTTATTCCTGCTTTTAAGTTATTAAACAACTTTGTATAGGCACTTTAACAGGTGTTATTACTATTGGGTGAGGGTTTACCTTTCTGTATTGTGAAGGGGGTTCCTCTCTTTAGAATACGGTGACCCAACAACTTTTCAGGCTAGAAATTGCTGAAGAGTAAGATTTGGGTATTGCAGATATACTTGGTTAAAAAAATAATTCAACAAACCATATTGCTCTCCTTGATTTGTACATTACATGGGACTTGTGCATCAAGAAGACAGCACAACTGCAAATGCGTGTCCAGATTTTTTCAGTTCCCACTCTTTACCAACCAACTGAAAGACAAAGAAAGATGCACTTAAGGGCCATGAGAGATACATTATACATGAACAAGTTCACTCTGTTGTCCAAACTTCCTTGGGGTGGAAGGCTTTTTCCCTTGTTAATGCTCACACAAGTGCATTCACACTGTGGATCCCCTAATGTTCTCTCCCCAAGCAGAAGATGGAGGCTTTAAGTGAAGATGAAGGCTCAAGCTTCATTCAATCTCAGATTTCCCAATGATTTCAACTGGGTATTAATGCAAAAGAGAAAACACATTTTGGCAAAACACCCTGGAGAGCCACTAATTACTTCCAGTGGATTTCCAGAAAAGTGTGGTAATTCTTAACAGCCGACTCCCCAAAGCCATGTACTGCTGATAGGATGATAGGTTATCTCTGATACTTTCTGTAGACAAAAGGGACATGTCCCCAGTCCCTTAAGAGCCTCGGGGCAAGTGGAAGCTCATGTGCAAAGTAAGACTGCCTCTTCCCTGTGAGGGGTCTTACAGTTCATTCTGCTGGAAAGGGAGAGAAATCCTTGGGAGAGACATTCCAGCCATGACTTAAGGATGCAATAGAGTGGTTCAGGAATGAATCCTGTTCCGACTTAACTCCAGGTTGAGAACAAAATGCAAAGTCAAATGCAAAAGTGAGATTTTTAAGTAGTAGAGGAGTAAATAATCACTGCACTGCCTCACCACCTCTTTCATTTGCAGTTGAGAACAGCTTTGCTGATATATTG